GTATGTTTATATTTATATATAAAGGAAATGAAGCTGCAACATGGGGGGCGGAGACCACAAATTAGCTGCCTAGTAGTAGGTGGGCTACAAGGATTAACTGTGCTTGTTGAAGGGTTAGGAAAGGTCTTTCTGAGACATTAATATTTAAACAGAGACTACACAGACACATGGACCACATGGACACCTCAAGAAAGCATCCACGGTGGCAGTATGCTCAACGGAAAGGCCCTGTGGGGTCCTCAAACATGGTCTTGTGTAAGGACCTAAAACAAAGCCAGGACAGCAGAAATTGAGTGAAGGGGCATGTAAGAGGTGAGGTCAGAGGAGTAATGGGGACCACAGAAGGCAGAATCTTTTCATGACATTTAAGACCAAGAGACGTTCACAACATTATTTTACTAATAAAATCAAACTTGGTGTTTGTCCCATTATTAGTTATTTCTCAAGGCTCCTTCTCCCTGCCTCGGGAAACCTGGAGAGTCGAGGACTTGCAGGAAGGCTCCCCGCCCTATCTCTCCTTGGCTCCCCACAGTTCAAAAAAAATAATGGCTGAAGACCTCACTATTCTTGCCTCTGCTTAGCTTGGCCTCAGTTGCTACATAAATTTCTTTTAGAAGGATCAGGTAGTGATTAAAGATGTCCAACTTGCCCAGACTGCTGTGTCACTCCATCTTTCACACCAATCTTCCTCCTCCCCTTAGTACCTTTAGTTCCCATAATTCATTGCAACATCTTACAGAATTCATCATTTAAGATATGGCTTACAAGATTGTGGCTAGCAAATCCCAAATCAGGGGTCAGACAGCAGGTTCCTCCCGACTCACAAAGTTGGATGGGTTGATGAATGAACCCAAACCAGTCAATGAGACAACAGGGTGCTGGCCTACAAGACTGCAGAAGGTGGCAAAATGGATTAGATGACAGGCTGCTGGCTCAAGAACCAGAGGGCAGATGATGACAAGTGAGGTGCAGAATCGAGAGTATTCGTATATACCTTGGGTGTAGACCAGACCCTAAAGGCAACTCTTCTTATGTGGGAAAAGGTGTTACTTGAATAAGGATGGTGACTGGGATGAGAGTAGTGGCTTGAGCCACACCCTCTAATAAGGTGATGACTCGATCCATCACCCCCTAATCCTGCTTCATTAACATAATGGACAACTTACTACCAAGTGGAATCATAGCCACAGGCATAGAGAGTGGCACGTCACAAAATCAAGGATCATTACCTTCGATCACAAAAGGGAGACAGGCATTATATAATCCAAAGTACATCGCATAACTACCAAACCACTGAAATCACGGCCCACACAAGTTGACTCAAAACCTTTATCATCTGTAGTGTTTACCCTTTGGTTGGTTGATGATGCATGGAGGGGATTGTAACCATGGCAATGAAACGATATACGATAGGATGAATGTAAAACTAATGTTCTCCCATGTAAATGATCACATAATTCACAATAAAACATTAAAAAAAAACAAAAAACCTTAATCATCACAGGTTCCATACATCTTATTTGCATCAACAGCAAGCTGTCAAACACCTTTGGGGAGCCACAATCATCTTATTTGTATAGTCCCACCCAATTATTGTATTGAAGTCACAAAGACTATAGAAGTCACAAAGACTATTATTAAACAATTTATTGCTTTGCAGAGGCCCCCACTATTAGGCCACCTTGGGACTCGCTCCTGTCTCACAGTAAAGGCTTCATCTCCACACAGCAAGCACATGGCTTACAGGAATGCAAGTACCTGGAAAGTAAGGACATGTGTTGTTTTTCGGTCATCCTAGGCCTAACCTCTTCCTTTCTTGCTCCATCACCCTCTGTGAGCCTGAATTTTGTCCTCCATCTTAGCACCTCATGGTAGTAACATGGCTGTTGTGACATCCACCAGTATGCCCGAAACCAACCAGGAGCAAAGGCAGGCTAGCTATCAGAAGTCAGGGTGCAAATCCTTACCAGAGACTTTCAAGAGACCCTCTCCTCCAGGTCAGTCTTGGGCAACAAGAATGGAGACTGCTTCGATTCACCTGGACTAACCTCTGTCCTGGACACGTTACTGATCAAACAAAATTGGGGTCCTCTCAGTAAGAAAGAAGGCTGGACTCATAGGCAGTTAGAGAGAATTCAGCGTGTCTTCCATTTCTAGCTCTTCTGCCCTGGAATCCAGACTTCCTCCTTTTTGGACAAACCACTTAGTTAAACTACTTGTAAGTGTGGAGATTTGTTGTTAAGTGTTGTTGAGTGGGTTCTGACTCATAGTGACCCTGTATAGGGTTCCCAGGGAGTGGCTGGTGAGCTTGAACTGCTGACCTTGCAATTCAAACTGACTTTGCAGTTCAGTGCATTAACCCATGGCACCACACCCAGGATGGTGGTGGTTATGTGCTGTGGAGTCAGTTCAGACTCATAGTGACCCTGTACAGGGTTTCCGAGGCAGGAACAGAAAGCCTCATCTTTCTCCGGCAGAATAGCTGGTAGTTTCGGACTGCTGACCCTCGCGGTTCGCAGCCTGATTTGTAACCACTACGCTACCAGAGCTCCTTACACCAAGGATAGAGGGAGGAATACATATACACATGAGGTGTGTAAACTAGAAGGTTCCCAGCAGAAAGAAGAAAGTGTTGCTCACATGGAATATTTCAAGAAGAGTTATAAAAGGCCCATTTGCAAAGATGTGGGCAGACTGTGAGGGCTGGTGCAGCCCCTAGGACAAGTACTAAAGGAGAGCTTTACCATTTCCAAGACCAAGGGCATGAAGAGAGAGAACAGGAACACAGAAGAGCAAGCCCTGAAGAGAGGACTGCCTTGGGGAAACTGCCTTAGGAGGGAGACAGCCAGTCCCTGGCAACCCCACAAGAAGGGAGCTGGGAGAATCAACACTGAACTATGTTCTCTCCTTCCATCTCCTGCAGAGTCCCCAATGTCAAAACCTTGCTGGAAGCCAGAGAACTTTTGAGTCCAGGCAATGCAGCCCACCTGCCTGAGCCTCCTCGGGATAGCGCAAGAAAAGCCCAGAGGGAGGGTCTAAGGGCAAGCGAAGACACCCAATACCAGATTTCTTAACCTGTTTTCAGCCACAACAAAGAAACCAGTTGCCAGGATATATATGGTAGTGGGCATGGAGGCCTAGGCTCTGGAGAACAAACAAACTGGCTTCTCCCAATCTGCATGCAAGTTCATTCTTCACTCAACTCACCACCTGCCTTTCACGTCTCCCCCAGGCCTCCAGGTAGCAGTCACAACTACCAAGCAGCTCCTAGGTGCTGAGCTGCCAGGCCTGTCCTAGGGCCACCACTCATGACTACTTGAAATCCAACAATCTTGTGAGATGGAGCTATTTAAAGCCACATTTTACAGAGGCGCCAATTGAGACTTCCTATGCACTCTAGACCACGGTGCTAAACCCCTCCCCAAGTGCTCCTCGTGGCTCAACACAAACCAGCTCGACACAAACCAGCGGTGTGGGGACTCATTAGTCTTATTGCCCAGGTGAACAAACAGGCTGAGCAGGAAAGTGATTTGCCCCAGGCCCTGCAGAGATGATCTGACCAAGCTCTGTGCTATACACCAAAGCCCATTGCTTCCTGCAATGAATCAGTGGGCCTGCCCCTCAGAAATGTGAATGGAAGGAGAATGAATCCTTCTCACACCACCAGGCCTTGGCATAAGCTGTCCCTGTGCCTGGAACATCTCCACCCTCACTCACATTGTTTTCTTTCTTCAGGATTCACATCCAGAAGGCCTGAACCCATAGGCTGGATCAGGTCCCCTTCAGTACCCCCATCACAGCCCCCGTCACTCCACCTGGGTTTGACCACCAGAACCTTGATCATTCTGGAGTACCCCTGGTCAACAGTGTACCTCCCCTATGGACTAACTTCTGTGTTCATCTTCAACGCTGAGCTTAGTTGTTGGCAAGCTAGCTCAGGGTGGCCTGGTCCTGAATATAACAGAAGGAAACACTGCCGGGTCCAACGCCAACTTCACGTTCCGAGGGATGTTGGAGTCATTGGTTGTGCCTATTGTTAGTGTACCTCACTGAGGCTATAGTTGGAGCTCAGAAAATTGTTAGGGGAACAAATGAAGGACTGGGACTACTTGGAGAATATTTAAAATCCTCTGGTAATGCCTTAACACTGACCATCAGAAGACAGCCTTGCCAAAGTGCTGGGGTCGGGTGGGTCCTGGACCATGGGAGACGTGGGGGCAGAGCAAAGTACCCCAGGTAGTCACCAGAGTGGAATAGCAACAGATTAGATGGTGCTGTAGGATAAGCACTAGACAGCTAACGGAAACATCAGTAATTCAGACACACCAGTCGCTCCGAGGCTTTGTGCTCTCGGAAACCCTATGTAAAATCACTGTGAGTCAGCATTGACTGATGGCGGTAACTGAGAGACACCTGAACAGCATTTCCAATCTAATGTTTACTCTGGGCATCTGAAGACCAGGCAGTGGGCCTCCTGCCCAAGGATGCACAGCCTGAAGCCTACACACTGGGGAACAGGGCAATCACAGCCACCCCCTCCCCTGCTTCAAGGCAGCTGCTGTGATTTGAATAACCAAGCAGGCTGCTGGCTGCTGCCTGTCCGGTGGTGACTGATTTGCCTGGCAAACACTCAGGTCCTCCACTCTGTCTGTTTCCTGGGGAGAAATTCAGGCCCCCGGGGGTCCATGTTCCCCTCCACACCCCCAAGAGCTGCTTTGGCCCCCTCTGGCTCTTGCTTGCCCCTTCTTGGGTAAGTCCTAGCATGTGTCTGTTCCTGGAGACTGCCCTACATACCTGGGGCAGGAGAGAGAGGCTGAAGGGTGGGCCCCACCACAAAGTGAAGCCACCTAAGTGGGATCCTCAGATTATTACAGAATTTGCATGGAGGAGTCTCCTCCAATTTCTCCCCTCCCTCCTTCCTCCCCACCAGGGTTAGGTCCAGCAGCAGGTGGTGGGAGTCATGCATGTGTGCAGGGAGCCAGCTCACCTTTCTGGAGACAATGCCCCGTGTCTTTCTGGTCAGGAGTCGGCGTCCACAGCCTCCCAATTGGGGCCAGCTCCCTGACCAGCTCCGGGGAGATGCCTATGTTCCAGGTGGGCCTCTCACTGGACTTGGGGGTGAGGCCCAGGGGGCAGGCAAAGCATCAGGGTCTGGCTTCATCTCCTCAGATTGCAGCAGCATAGGAGGACCACCAATACACCAGTCTTCAGGCCTTGGGGACTCTTGGGCAGCGGTGAGTCTGCAAACAGCCCACAAGCCCCTGATGTTTCACCCCTGTGCACTTTGGTCCTCCAGTGAACCTGACTTCCCTTTATGCTTAGAGTCCTCTGCTCTTGCGCTCTTGCCTCAGGGCCTTTCCACACATTATACTCAAGGCTAGGAAGGTCCTTCCTTTCCTACTAGCTACCACACAGGTCTCATCCCAAGCACCATTTCTTTAGGGTGGGTAGCCAGAGTCCCTGACTCCTGAGCTGTTTTGCCTGGGGCAGGAGAATAGGATTGAACCATGATGGTGATTGGCTTTGTTAGATCTGATGAGGTAACTGGCAGTTCTTGATGGGAGAGTGCTCTCAGCTGTGTGTGCGCTGGAAGGAATGCACCCACTGCAGGACACCTGTGCTTGAGACGATTTCATGATTTCATTGTTCATTGACAGCCAGGCGTTGTTCTAGGGGCTGGGTATGGAACAGATTAAGACCCAACTCCTACATTCTTCCATTATGTATCCAAGTCACAGGTATGGTTTATGGTTGGGGTAGTCAGGGCTGTTAGTCACTTCCAACTCATAGCGACCCTATAAAGGGCTTCGACACTGTAAATCTTTATGGGAGCAGAAAGCCTCATGGTTCTCCTGCGGAACAGCTGGTGGTTTCGAACTGCTGACTTAGAGGTTCGCAGCCCGATTCGTAACCACTACGCTTACCAGAGCTCCTTAGGAATGAATACAGACTAAAATCAGATGGCAAATGCTTTGAAGGACTGTAAGGAAGAGTAAAGGAGATGGGCTAGTCAGGGAAGGTCTTAGAGTGCCGCTGACACATTCATAGCAGTCTCTAGCCTTCCCAGACCTCCCTGGTCTCTGGAGTCCTGAGGGTGGGCAGGAACGGGCCCCAGTGGCTAACTCCCATGTCCCCCGCACAGTCCCCGCAGGACACTATGACTATGGCTTCCAGAAGCCCCAGGGCACTTGGCTGTCCACTCTGCCCCAAGGCTTTTCCACTGCAGCGGATGCTGACACGGCACCTCAAATGTCACAGCCCAGCGCGTCGCCACGTTTGCCACTACTGCAGTAAGGGCTTCCATGATGCCTTTGATCTCAAGCGTCACATGAGGACACACACAGGTGGGCAGAGGTAAAATGGAGGGAAGCTCTTGGGGATCTGGAGTACCCAGAATTTGTGAATATGGGGCAGGAACAGTTAACAGGCGACTTGGGACATGGTTTACCTCGTCCCCTGGCAGAGGGATGTAAGGAGGCCCTAAAGCAGAACTCGGCTTGATGTGGGTAGAAAGAAGTGCTGGCCACAAGCTTCAGATCCCACACTGGAGAAGACAGGGATCACTCATCCCCAGGGGACGAATCTCCACGGGGGGGACTGAGGACAGGTGTCTGGCTCATGTTCTCAGGGTGACAGAGGGTACCAGCCAGCATGGGGTGGAGGGATGTAGGAGAGCAAGGCAGAGACGCCACTGTCCCCATGCATCCTCTGCTGAGCAGGAATCCGGCCGTTCCGTTGCGGATCATGCGGCAAAGCTTTTACCCAGCGCTGCTCACTGGAAGCGCATCTCGCCAAGGTGCACGGGCAGCCTGCCAGCTACGCTTATCGAGAGCGCCGCGAGAAGCTGCACGTGTGTGAGGACTGCGGTTTCACCAGCTCGAGACCCGACGCCTACGCACAGCACCGCACCCTGCACCGCGCGGCGTGAGATGGTGCACCTGGCGTCCCGCACAGGAGAGGCAAATAAACACAGGAAACGTGCTCAAAGAAATCGGCTCTTTTATAGCACACAGGGGAGGGGAGGGGAGGGTGACACGATCACTCAGTCCAGCGGTGGCCGCAGTGCGGGGCCGTGCACACGTAGTAAAGGCGCATAGCGTCCTCAGCCCGGGCACTGTGTGATTGGAAGAACACCGCCTCCTTGTGGCCACACTTCTGACACGGGTGGTCCTCGGTCCGCGGTAGTGTGGGGTCCTGGGACACGTCTGCAATGATCTGGGTCAGTTCATCCACTTCGTGCGTGATCTTGTTGACGTAGATGTAGCTGTTGTCGGCTTCTTGCTGGTAATCACAGTTTCAGCACTATGTGTGACGGGGGAGCGGGAAGAGCGAGGTCACCGCGAGGTCCCAGATGGGAGAGAAGGGAAGGAATGTGTCGGCATGGGTACTATGGGAGCATCGGGTTCACGAGGAGGAGGATTGGGAAGCGAAACCAAGTCACGTCGGGTGGGGGGGAGGACAGATCAGTCATGTGAACTTGGGGTGGGGCTAAATTGGAGACCAGTAGACAGACGCGTGTAAGAAACCGGGGGGCGCCCGCATGCTCGCCCTCACCGCGTAGAGCAGAATGCGGTTCTCTTTGTCCTCTTTGGGATACAACATGTTGTTACTGCGGAGAGGAAGAGATCAGAAATCATTCCTGAGACCATTCCTACTGCCCAGCCTCACCTGCTTACCCAGTCTCACCATTCCTGACAGAACCGAATACCCACGAAACCCGGTTCATAGGTCCCATCCGGTTCCATAGCGACGCACTACTACGCTTGCTCTGCCGCGCTACGGATCGCGAGAAGGTTCAACTCAAGCCAGGTTCCTTCTCAAAAGAGGGGCGGAGCATCCGTCACACACCCCTAGTTGCTTTGTGCTTAGCTTCCCTCCGTCCTGTTGTTGTTGTTAAGTGCCATCGAGTCGGTTCCGACCCATAGCGACCCTGTACAGGGTTTCCGAGGGTGTAAATCTTTACGGGAGTAGAAAGCCTCATCTTTCTCCCGCGGAGCGACTGGTAGTTTCGAACCGCTGACCTTAAGGTTCGCAGCCCGATTCGTAACCACTACGCTACCAGAGCTCCTTTAGTTTGTTTAATTATTTACTTCGGTCTTATGGTCTACTAGAGTAACTTCTCTGTTTTTCGGCCGTGCAATAGCATAGATCTGATACAAGAGTTAAGAATAGCCCGCAAAACACTGAGCGTAAATGGAGGGAGTCATTGCTTTTCGATACGCTGAAAGGCAGTGCACATGCGCGAGTTCACCAAACGGGTGAGGATCACTCTTGCCAGTCTTCCCTCTTGGCTTCAGCCTCCGTTCTCCGGTCGTTTGCAAGGCCCCTATTGGGAGATCCGTGAACCATGGAAGGCCTCTCAGGATTGGCTGAGCCCACTCATGACGACAGGATGGCTCTCATCCCGGCGGTGGAGAAGAAACGACGGCGATTGGCTGATGTTCTCTGCGGGAGAGCGTGGATTGGCCAGGTCCAGGAGCAGGGGGAGGAACTGATAGTCCAGAAGCGGCGGCCTGCGACTGCGGAGCCGGTGTGAAGCGGTTGAATAGGGCAGAGAGCCCCGGGAGGCGCAGCGACATGGAGGTGACCGGGATATCAGCGCCCACGGTGACTGTTTTCATCAGCAGCACCCTCAACAGCTTTCGCAGTGAAAAGCGGTACAGTCGCAGCCTCACCATCGCTGAGTTCAAGGTGTGGCCTGGGGGGCGGGGCCCGGAGGAGGCGGGGCGTTTGGGTTTGAGGGGTGGGACAAAGAAGAGATGGGGGATCCTGAACGTGGAGAGAGGTCGAACCCGAGATAATTTAAAATTCCAGGGATCAGGAATCGGGACTCGGGGGACGGGCGCCAGGCCAGGGAGAACCAGAGATTTCTGAGTGTAGGGATGAGGCCAGGAAGAAAGACAGATTACTGAGAATCGGGGTATGGGTGTCGGGACCTTGGTTGGTCGGGCCCAGAGATAACCCGGTGGAACCTGAGGGGTCCGGGAGCAGGACCAGGAACTGGGTGTGATTGTGGGAACAGGTACGGGCAGCCCGTCCACTAACCCAGCCCCCTCCTTGCAGTGTAAACTGGAGCTGGTAGTGGGCAGTCCTGCTTCGTGTATGGAGCTGGAACTCTATGGACCGGAAGACAAGTTCTACAGCAAACTGGACCAGGAGGATGCACTCTTGGGCTCGTACCCTGTGGACGATGGCTGCCGCATCCACGTAAGGCCTTCCTGCCTGAGACAACCGCCCCCCACCACCACCACTATCAACTCCTTGATTTAGTTAGTAGATACAGGCTGTGCCCTGTCCTGCAGTTGAAGGAAATGTAGACAAGGTGGGAAGGAAATGCCAGGTAGCGGGAACAGAAAATACAGAGTAGACAGGCCTGGAGTGTGAAGTGGAGTGGGGTGAGCATTGAGGCAGGACCTCTGTGTGGGTCAGTTCATATTGTCCTCTCTGCCTCCCCTTCTCCTCCCCCCACTCCAGGTGTGCACCAACCACACTCGCTTCTCAGACATCACAGGCAAGCTCGACCTCAGGGCCTTTGCATATGCTGTTACCACTGCCTGAATGGGTATTTTTTATATTATTTTTCGTTCACCCCTCCTTCCAGTCTCTAATTAGATGTCATTTTCTCTAACTGAAGATGGTCAGTATGAAATGTTGCCTTTTCACTTTTCCCGTCTTTGCTATATTTGATTTTTCTTCTCAGCTCTTATCCTTGTACATTCTCTGCATTTTGATCCTTGAGCAGCTTTACTTTCTATCTCCCCCCTCCACCATAGTGCCCTGAGGCCAGAAATGTGCCTCTCTGTTGTTTCCCAGTCCTGTTGTGTCCTCAGCACCTGGAGTGACCTCTAAGTGCATCTTTGTTAAATGATGGCTTAAATCCATAGGTAAGCCTAGAAAGATTCCTCACTTTGCAGAAGAGGAAACATCCTCAGGATGGAATTGACTATCCTGAGGATGAGCTATAGCTATAATCTTAATTGAAGGCTGCCAGACTTGAGAAGCCAATGTGCACAAAGAACTGACTGTTTGTTACTGTTGAGCATCTAAGGAGCACTGGTGGCGCAGTGGATTAAGCCTCAGGCTACTAACCACAAGGTCAGCAGTTCAGACCCACTAGCTACTCCTCGGGAGAAAGATGAGACTGTTCTCAGAAAGATGCACAGTTGGGAATCCCTGTAGGTTCTTAGAGGGTCACTTTCAGCCAGAATCGACCCTGGCAGTGAGTTATAGGTTGAGCGTCTGTGTTGTGCTGGGACACACCTGTGAGCCAAGTCTGAAAAAGGTCCCTGTTTCACTGTGTGGACCACTTAGCCAAATAATGACAATGTGAACAAGTGTGAAGGGCTGGTGGAAACCAAGGCCGTGCATCCCCACTGACCTGTCCTGCCTTCGCCACAGGTCATTGACCACAGCGGTGCCCACCTTGGGGAATACGAGGATGTGTCTAAGGTGGAGAAATACAAAATATCCCAGGAAGCCTATGACCAGAGACAAGGTACAGGGCACATGGGGACCAGAGGGAGTGTGGGCAATGGATATGTGGGGCAGACAGTGTGGATTAGAATTTGAGGGATTCAGTGGTATGGAAGAATGGGGGTGGGTTGGAATTGGGGATGTGAGGGGGGGTTCATGGAGATAGGACAGGAAGCGCACATGTGGGCTGAGAGGTATTAGGGCTTGTGGGGTGCAGATGGCGACATGGGAGAATGGAGTGGGCGTGAGTAGGTCTGAGGTATGGGGGTTTAGGGACATGGAGGAGTGGTCAGGGTTGGACGGAGACATGGAATAGGGCAGATGGAAGCATGGACAAATGGAGCATGTGGTTGATGGTAGATTGTGCGGAGTGGACAGGTCAGCGTAAGCACGAGGGCACATCACATCTGTCTGATGAAGAAGACATGGGAGCTTCAGAGGCTGGATGGGACTTGGGAAGACAGGCATGGGAAAAGCTGGAGGCAGGTGTCATCCTTCATCCCTCTCGTCTCTGGATTGTGGGAGAACCCCAGGAGTCTGGGGAGGGGCTGGGGCAGTGGTGGTAGCATTTGGGAGACTCAGGCAAGCTCTCTGATACCCAGAATAGACTATCAAGCCTACAGCGGTGATATTCATAGAGTCCTCCACCCAGGGACCGTGTCTGACTCCTGCCCCTACCCTGCCAGACTCAGTTCGCTCCTTCCTGAAGCGCAGCAAACTAGGCCGATACAACGAAGAGGAGCGGGCGCAGCAGGAGGCTGAGGCTAACCAGATTCTCAACGAGGAGAGGACCCAGGCTGATGCCATCTCTGTGGGCAGCCGCTGTGAGGTGCGGGCGCCTGGACAGCCCTCTCGCCGGGGCACTGTCATGTATGTAGGTACGTGGCCCACGCAGCCATTTCACAAAAACTCACAGAGGCCCTGCCCTGAAGTGGGCAGTGCTGGGGGCCCAGTCCAGTTGACAGTGACCATGACCCAGAGTGTTCAGGGCAAAGAAATAGCCACAAACAGAATGACTGGGCTGTGGTGGGGAAGCCCAAGCAGAGAGTCCAAGGCTGGGAGCTGGGACGGGGGACTCAGAGGCCTGAATGATCAAAACTTTGATGAGGGGGCTGAAGGGCACATCGTCAGAGCTGGATGGGGAAAACACAGACTCGAGTAGGCAGGACTGAAATGAGGGCAGTGTATTGGGTGTGTGGACTGAGAGGAAGTATCAGACCCATGTTTGAGAGTAATCCAAGAGGGCTTTCTGGTAGAGGAATTATCTGAAGGAAAGGAGGAAATGGGCCAGTGGGAAGGTAGGGAAGAGGGTTTCAGCTCAAAGGAGCAAGTACAAAAGCTGTGAGGTTGAGGCTGGAACAAGGTTGGGGTGTTTGGTGGGGAGGGAGGGAGGAGGTGAGGTGGGGGACACGGCCGGGGTCAGACCACAAAGGGCCTTTGGAGACCCTGGAGAGCACTGTGGGTGCTTTGTGGTACCACCAACATATAATGGATTGGTGCTTAGTATATTCATGAAATTGTCTTAACTGTCATCACAATCAATCTTAGAACATTTTATCACCCCAAAAAGAAACCCTGTGCCCATAAGCTGTCACTTCCCATTCCCCCCAACTCCCATAATTCTGTTGTTGTTCAGTGCTTTCAAGACGGTTCCAACTCATGATGACCCTGTATAGGGTTTCTGAGGAGTGGCCAGCAGGTTTGAACTGCTGACCTTGTGGATAGCAATCAAGTGCTTATCCTTAAGCGCCACCCCATGGTACTAGGCAACCACTGGTCTGTCTTTTTGGGGGAGGGGCAATGGGGCAGGAGTTAGAGTTAGGACTGGCTAAGTCAAGGCTAAGCCTAGGGTTTCCTGTACTGTTAGGATTATAGTTAGGCCTTGGGTTAGGGTAGGTGTACGGGTTGGCTAGGGCTGGAGTAGGGCTTGGTCTAATTTTAGGGTTGCAGTTAGTTTCTTTATTATTAAATTTGTCCTTGAAATCCATTTTATTGCCTCTACACTTAGGAGTCTCGAAGCTACATTTCAGTTTTCTATATGTGGTTTTGTTGGAGTACACTAATACTCTGGTTCCTTCTTTTCAGTCTTAGAGATTGGGTTTACTTTGGGTACTTCTATTCCGGGAGAGATTGTCATATATTTTGATCTCAGGTTGTTGTCTGTTGTTAGTGGTTCTCTGCTTACCATCACCACTAATCTGCTTTCTGTCTCTTATGAATTTGCCTATCCTGACCCATCCATATAAATGGAATCATATAGCACGTGGTCTTTTGTGGTTGGGTTTCTGTACTCAGCTTGTTGTTTTCATGGTTTATCCAGAACATGTATCAATACTTCATTTCTTCTTTCTGTTGTTTTTGTTGTGTGCCATCGAGTCAGTTCCAACTCATAGTGCACTTCACAGCACCACATCAGGACTGTACCTAACTAATAACCCATTATGTAGATAAACCACATTTTGTTTTAGCAATTGAAGGACATTTGAGTTGTTTCCATATTTGGGCTATTATGTATAGTACTGCTATGAATATTCATATACAGACTTTTGTGTAGACGATACGTTTTCAGTTTTCCATCCCTACGAGTAAAATTAGGAATCCTGGTGTGGTGCTGTGGGTTAATGTGCTAGATTGCAAAGTCGGTTTGAACTGCAAGGTCAGTGGCTCAAGCTCACCGGCTGCTCCTTGGAAACCCTGTACAGGAGCTCTATGGGTCGGAACCGACTTGGCTGCACTAACAGCAACAACAGGAGTAAAATTGCTGGGTCATATGGTAACTTGGACTCCTGGTGTAGATCAGCACTGGACTGTGATCCACAAAGGCAGCAGTTCAACCCACCAGCTGCTCCTCAGAAACCCTGTACAGGGTCTATATGACAGCACTTAGCAACCACAATAGCAGCAATAGTGGTCATGGTGTGTTTGACCCTTTGAGGCACTGCCAGAGCGTTTTCTAAAGCAGCTATGCTGTTTTACATTTCCACCCACAGTGTAGGAAGGTTCCAATTTCTTTACATCCTCTCTAACCCTTAAAGCCATCCTATGGTGCTTAGAGGCTCTTTGGTGGTGCAGTGGTTGAGCACTCTGCTAATGGCGAGGTTGGCAGCTCAAACCAACAGTTGCTCCATTGGAGAAAGATGTGGCAGTTTGCTTTCATAAAGATTGCAGTCTTGAAAACCATATTGGGCTGTTCGCTTCTGTTGTTGTTAAGTACCGTGGAGTTGGTTCCGACTCATAGTGACCCTGCACAGGGTTTCCAAGGCTGTAAATCTTTATGGGAGCAGAACGCCTCATCTTTCTCCCACGGAACCACTGTACTCTAAGGTTATTGTCAGTTGGAGTTGACGCCATTCAGTGGTTTGTATTTGGTTGGTTTTGGGTTATAGATTGTGAAATGGCATCTCATTGTGGTATTGATTGACATTTCCCTAATGATTAATGGCATTGAACATCTTTTCACATGCTGATTGAGTATTTTCTTTGAATAAATGCTTACTCAATCCTTTGCTTATTTTGACTTGTTTTTGGGTTGGTTTGTTTGTTTGTCTTGTTGTCGATTTCCAGGAGTTCTTTATATACTCCAGTTAGGGTACTTACTAGGTAGATGATTTGCAGATCTTTTCTCCTGTGCTGTTTGTTGCCTTCACTTTCACCAAAATGTTTTATATATTTTTTTTTCCCAAAGGATAATTCAAGATTTATCAGAGTCTTCTGTAAGAATTTAATGTTCTTAAAAAGTATGAAATATTTTATAAAAAGTAAAGAGCCTATGTTAGTGGCTATTGTAAACATCAGTGTAGCCATTGCCCTCCATTTCTTCACCATTTGCCATTTTTGTTTCCTATCTTTTTTTTTTTAATTGTGAATTATGTGATAATTTACATGGAGAACATTATCTTTACATTCATTCTATCGTATATTTCATTGCCATGGTTACAATCCCCTCCATGCATCATCAACCAACCAAAGGGTATACCCTGCAATGTTTTATATTTTTTGAAGGCCAGCTTAATCTATATTTTTGGTTGTTACTAATGCTTTTGGTGTCTTATGGAAAAAACCATTACTTAGTCCATTGTCATGAAGATTTACCCTTTTGTTTTCTTCTAAGTTTTAATCCTTTTAGCTCTTTGGTCTCCTTTGAAATGATTTTTATGGATGATGCGAGCTACGAGTCCAACTGCGTGCTTTTACATGTGGATAAACACTTGCTCCAGCGTCGTGTACTAAAAAGACTCTTCTTTCACCACTGAGTTGTCTTGATGCTTTTGTCAAAAACCAACTGAACGTAAACTGTAGATTTTATGCTGAGTGGTATGGGCAGGCTTTGAAGGATTTGGGGCAAGGCTGTGGTGCCCTTTCCCTTAGACTTTTTTAGAAACCCTTCTAGCTGAGGGTGTTGAGTAGATAAAGGGGTTCAGGCTTGGAGCAGACAGGCCAGTGAAGGAGCTGCTGCATTCATCTAAGGAGATGGAGGTGGTCTGAGGGATAGTAGTGGAGACAGCTAAGTCACGGTTTTCCCCACCCTCAGTGGGCAGGCATGAATCTGGGGTGAGCTGCATCTGAGAGTTCATTGGGATTTCTCCCCCGGACAGGACTCACAGATTTCAAGCCTGGTTACTGGATTGGTGTCCGCTATGATGAACCACTAGGAAAAAATGATGGCAGGTAACCACCATTCCTACTCCAGCATCTGTGTCTCTGTGGGCATATGTGTGCATACGTGTGTCAGTCTGGATGTGTGTTCTTTTGGGTGAGCCTGCCCAAGCTAACATCTTGGGGTCAAAACTGTGTTGGAGCCTTCTGACCAATACTTCCTCCATCATTGCTTACAGTGTGAATGGGAAGCGCTACTTCGAATGCCAGGCCAAATATGGCGCCTTCGTCAAGCCATCAGCTGTGACGGTGGGAGACTTTCCTGAAGAGGACTATGGTTTGGACGAAATGTGATGCCCAAGGAAAGGGACCGCTCTACTCCAGCTTCCCTTACTCGCCCCCTGTCCCTTGTGCTTGTCAAGGACCCTCTTTCCCTGATCCCATTTTTATTTTATTTACTTCTCCCTTGCCATTGGCTTTTTGAGACATGTACATTAAATTTGTGGAAAACTTGGGAAGTGTTTGGAGGATTATGGGAGGAATTGGGAGCAAACTAGGTAAGTGTGGGCCAAGTAGGCGTCTGGGCAAGTAGAGGGTAGGCAGGTTCAGGTTTAGCTAATAACTGGAGGCCCACAAATCTGTTCTTTGTCCTTGTCTTAGTTAATACAAGGTTTTGCTTCTGTAACAAAGAGGCCCCTAATAACAGTGGCTTAAAGAAGATGAAAGTTTTTTCTACTGTCATGTAAAATTTCAAGTAATCATTGAGTGCTAATATGGTGAGAGCTCAGTGTCAGGCACCAGTCTCCATCTTCCTTTTCCTCCTCATTCTCATCTCATCTCTTCCTGCCACCGAAGAAAAGAAGGAGAGGGGAGACTCCTTACTTTTAAGGAATAAGTATACAACTCAAAACGTGTTCCTCTTTCATGGGCCAGAATTTGGTCACATGGCCACACGTAGATACAAAGGAGGCTGGGAAATGCCCTCTGTTTCATGTGCCTAACCAAATATCAGGAGAGAAGGGATATTTGGGGTGTCAATAAGAAGTTCTGCCACTGTTTTAAGGGATGGTGACCTTAAGAATAAGGGTTTTTTAAAGAATAAAGAAACCTAATGGCTTTAGAAGTAGCTTGGAATCATTCCTCATATCATTTCTAGACTGGCGAAGAACATGCTCTCAGGTTGTGAGTGCATGTCTGTGCAGCCTCTGCCTTCTGGGGAGCCTGAATGGTACTCCTCCCTTGTTAGCTCCTGGTGGGCTGACTAGTTGGGTGGACTCTGCTTCACAGCTGCAGGCCCTTGTAAATTCTGGAGACGGAGGCAGTAGGAGCAATAGCAGCAGCCAGAGCTGGAAGAATGAGTTTAAACTGCCTGGCAGCTGGAAGCATCCTGGGAGTGCAGAAGGGAGCTGCTCACATCCATATACAAATATAGTCTGATGTCCACCTATTCTGCTGTCCACTGTAATGTGTCCACACATACTCAAACAGGTGACATACTCACAACACAAACTAGAAATGACTTGGATGGAGGAAACACAGTACACACAGATTGACACACCAGGGAGTCACACATACACACAGAAAACAAATTCACATCAAACACCCACAAGGGATAGACACATAACAAACACACACGCATATGCACTGATTAGTAGTCACGTCACAACAAAACTCGGATGCCGAAAAGGGATCCTTGGGCCCCTGCCATGGGAGGCAGTTGTCAGAGAAAGGAAGTATAGAGGTAGAAGCAAGGTCTTCCCCTGACCTTCTAACTAAACCAAACAACCAAGTTCATTGCCATCAAGTGATCCTGACTCACGGTGACCGTGTGTAGGGTTTCCGAGGCTCTAATCCTTTATGGAAGCAGATAGCCTCACCTTTCTCCTGTGCTGTGGCTAGCTGGTGGGTTAGAACCACTGACCTAGCAGTTAGTAGTTCAGTCACCACCAAGGCTCCTTAACCTTCGGACTGGTACTCACCAATTGAAGTCATCTCGGGATCCAGCAGAATTAGCTTTGTGATTAGTACTGAGGACCTGGGACTCTTAAGATCTGGCCTCAAGGTACACTTCCATATTAAAAGGCCCAAGGATAAGGATAGGAAAGTGAGCACATGGTCCCCAAAGACACGCTGACCACCCTGACCCACATGTGTGGACTCTTAAGCCAGTGTTGTGGGCTGTATGAGATCTGCCAGACCCCACCAGACGATCGAACCAAACTTTCAGTGTTTGTTTTCATGTCTCCAGCTATCGACATGAAAACAACCGTCCAGAAAAACACTGGGGGAACGGAGCAGTTCTGCTCTGCACACCTGGGGTCACCATGAGTCGTAACTGACTCCTGGTATCGGACAATGACAACACACAGAAAAGACAGAGATCCCTCCCTTCTGTTTTAAAAAATAAACCAAAGTAAAAAAAACGGGGGAAATTTAATTTTTTTATAACAATTTAAGAAAATAAATTGGATCATGCTGATAATTTCTAACTACAAAATCAGAACCACTGCGCCAAAGTCTGTATCACAGTTAGGAGTTAGAGACTCGCTTTACAGAATGAGTTGGTTCTCAAACTGTCTCCGGGCTGAGATGGGAAGGGAAGAAGTAACTGTGCTCAGTATTTAAGCACCGAAAGGTCGGGAGTTCAAGCCCACCAGTCACTCAAGTGGGAGTAATCTGCTTACATAAAGATTACAGATTTGGAAACTCAACAGGAGTAATTCTACCCTGTCCTAAGGGTCACTATGAGTAAGAATCCACTCAAAGGCAACTGGTAGGAGGAAGTGGGGGATAGTGATTAATGTAACACCAGCTGTCGGATCATCAGATCAAATAACTCCCAGGAGTTCAGTGCTGGTGACCTGGCATGTGGTGGTTCACACAGCCCTGACTGTCTTGTGGCTCCATCATCTCTCAGGGCTGGAACTGATCTACTTATAGCTGGCAAATGGGAGGAAACTATGGCTTGCCAGTGTTAAAAATAAAACTCAAAGAAATTGAAACAGGTTTACTCTGAGTAATTATGTTGTTTGTTGCATAAGGAGACCATTGTCGTCGTCGTGAAGTGCTGTCAAGTTGGTTCTGACCCATAGCAACCCTGTATAGGGTTTTCAAGGAGCGGCTGGTGAGCTTGAACCACCGACCTTGCAGTTCAAAGGGCTTTGCAGTCTGACGCATTAACCCACCACACCACACCAGGACTCCACAGTGATGTTTTTTTAAAAGCAAGTGGCTCAAAGTGGGCGAGTTAACAATGAAGTTTATAAAGCGCAGGGGGAGGGCCATCGATTCCTCTTAACATGATTGAACACTGCCTTCCTTCCCTTTTACTGAAATCAACTGATGTCTGCTCACAAGCTAGTCTCTAGCCCTCCACCCACCTGCAGCCATTAGGCCTTCTACAATTTTACATTTTAAATTAAGCCTGCCTTCAGCAAACAGAAAAGTGGGTGGGGAAAAACAAAACAAAACCAAAAACCTGGTAGCCGGATTAAATCAGGAATTTTCTCTCTGACACTTTTAAGTTCTTTAAAAACCTATCTCAGAAATCATCTACACACTTTTGCTCATGTCTTACTGGTAAGAACTTGATAGTCATGCAGTGACAAGGGGGCATCAAAAAGTGTATGGGAAAGTAGTATTAAAAGATGATGGCTTTAGACCCAGAGAGGAAGAGGGGCTGTGTGCTGATGACCGGGGGGCAGGCTTGCAGGGTATACCCTTTGGTTGATTGATGATGCATGGAGGGGATTGTAACCATGGCAATGAAACGATACACGATAGGATGAATGTAAAACTAATGTTCTCTCATATGAACGATCACATAATTCACAATAAAACATAAAAAAAAAAAAAAAAAAAGATGGCATTTTTTCCACAAACATTTTGAAACCCCTTTATATTCTTAGGCTGGGCTGCTCTCTCCCAGCCATAGCTATGTAAAGGAACCCTGGACTTAGTTAGACTGTCCCAGCGCTGATCACCTTCTACTGAGCACCTGATCAGTAGTAATTACAGGTATGACAGCCACGAGATTTCCTGCAGGATGAATAGGGTGGGGAGGGTCAGGGAAGGGACTTTTGTGGAGGATATTTGAAAAGGAGTTAACTGTACATAACCCTGGTAACGTAGTGAGTTATTATTGGGCTGCTAACTAACGGAAGGGTCAACAGTTCGAATCCACCAGTTGCTCCTTGAGAGAAAGATGAGGCTTTCTGCTCCTGTAAATATTTGCAGCTTTGAGAATACTATATAGACTCGCTTTGAGTCAGAACTGCCTTGATGGTACACAGCAGACGCAGTATCTGTACGTAAGGGAACAGGGCTTTGTAAACCTGATCAGAAACCCAATTCCTATGCTACATACAAATCTAATACAGACTACAAACTTTGTCCAGGAGCAAGCCCAGAACACCAGCTCAAGGATTCACATGTGAGTGTCCTCTTGAGTTGATTTCTCTACCAATTACAATGGGGTTCATCTATAGGTTAAGGAGCTCTGGTAGCATAGTGGTTACGAGTCAGGCTGCCAACCTCAAGGTCAGCAGTTTAAAACTACCAGCTGTTCCTCAGGAGAAAGCTGTTCCACGGGAGAAAGGTGTTCTGCTCCCGTAAAGATTTACAGCCTCGGAAACCCTGTGCAGGGTCACTATGAGTCGGAGCTGACTCCACAGTACTTAACAACAACAATTCTATAGGTTGGAGTCCTGGTGTGGCGCTGTAGGGTTGGCAGTTCAAACCCACCAGCCACTCCTTGGAAACCCAATACAAGGTTGCTATGAGTAGGCACCAACTTGATGGCACTAACAACAATTCTTTAAGTTAAGAGAGGTGTCCTAACCTTGGTGTGGAAGAGCCTGCTCTGAAACTGGAAATCCTGTATTAAAATTCTACCTCTCACTGACCAGCTGAGCATACGAGTAAATTATTCCTCATCTCTGGGTCCAGCTTCTTTCCTATAAAGTGGGCCGGATAATAGTATCTGCCACAAATAGTTGTGAATGTTAAATCAGATAATACATATGAAGCGAGAGTTCTGCACTGGGATGTGGATAAGTGCTTGTTCCGTTAAATATTAGCTATAGTTATAACAACTGTATGCCGGGGGCAAAAAGGAATGAAGAGATAGGGAATTTTTCCACAATCTTTGGGAAGCCCCTGGTATATAATTATGTTGTTGTTGTTAAGTACCATTGAGTCAGTTCTGACCCACAGCAACCCTGTATAGGGTTTCTGAGGAGCAGCTGATGAACTTGAACTGCCAACCTTGAGGTTCAAATAGACTTTGCAGTCCAGTGCATTAACCCACAGTGCTGCACCAGGACTATAGTTAATATTTAACTGAGCTAGCAATT